TAAGCGTGTTGGCATTTTTTTACCTGAGCCTGCATTTGAACATGGTCAAGTTTATGTTGCCTGTTCAAGAGTTGACGAAAGAACGGACGTAAAATTAAAAATAATGGATGGTCTTCTGCAAGGCGAGTTTAAAAATGATGGAAAGATCTACACAAGAAATGTTATGTACAAAGAGATCTTTGACATGTGAATTAACATTTCATTATTTAAATCACCTTTATTGAATGAGTTAGCGGTGGCTCTTAAGAAATATACTGCCAGTGGTTTCCTTCATTGCACTCTACTTTAAGCAAGTAGGGAAACCCCATGGGGCAGTAAGCAAAGGGGCATCATCGCCACCTGCCCTGGGTAATTCAGTTTAAAATAGCAGACACCTTTTCACAAATCATTAATAGTCAAATATTTTTTTTTTTTTTTTCCCCAATGCATTATACAGTACGGAAGTTGGGGGGTTCTTCCCTTTCTCCGCAAAATCTCGAATATTGAAACTATTATAGTTCGCTGCAAAACAACCAACGGACCTTTTTTGGGGGGGGTGTCACTTTCCCATCTGTATTGAATAGGACTAAAAGTTCTGCGGTGTACCAACCCAAGCAAAGAATGATTCTATTCCAGAAATTTAACGCAGTCTGTTCAAAATTAGAATGTCAAGCACCCCAGATTGGTAAATCTCTTTATTAATCAATATGAGTACAGCAGGGATATCGCATGGAACGCAAAGTGCCCTGCTCAATGATAAATATGCCACATAGGCGCATGACAGTGCAAACCGGAGGAAGCAAAGGGGCGTTTTCCTTTATTTAATTATTTATTCTCTAAATACCGGCAGCTGTTGATTCCAATTGCGTAATATCACATGCAGAAGAATTAAGGCACACGTATTGTGCAATAACGTTTGCGATATTTTGCACAGATTTTGATGCTCAGTGGGAGATTTGTTTAGAACACTTAAAAGTTTTACTGTGCTTGCTAAGCAGATGCATTATTAATTTTCAGTTCCATTGGACTATTTTTTGTATGATGCACAGATATCGAAATGTCAAGAAGCATTATTTAGCTGAAAAATCTAAAGAATGGCTACAACCTACTCCCCCTTTCCACTTTTACCAGTTATGCTCGACTATTCGGAATTTTCAGATATTCGGCAATTTCCGAGTATGCAGGTTAGTTAAGCTTTTACTGTTAAAGGATGACTGCATGAAGAAATTTCCCCATCTTCTGATTTCAGAAAAGCTCCTTTTTTTTTTTGCTTATTTTTACTTCAATTACTTTGCCTGCAATATCTGTTAATGAAAACTGTTATACAATGAAAATTTAGAAAATGTTCAGAATTTTGATTTAAGTTATTTAAATATTAATAAAATTGGAAACATAAATTGTATTTGTTTTAGGTGCCAAACGAATATAATAAATATGGTTTATTTTTATTTATTTTCTCTATTTTGAACAGAAATTTCGTCATTAAATCTTGTAATATGATTTAGTTCTGCATAATTTTTTTTCTCTCATTGTGAACTAGTTCTGTGAATTGAACTGTTATTTAAAATTTAAAAAAAAGAATATAATTGTTTTCCATGGTTGAGTAATGCTCATTCTCTCTTAATTAATACTGAATTTCTCATATTTTAAATTACAAGTCTAATTTTTCTTTTAAAATCATGCAGTTGTGTATAATGTAATTAGACAGATGCTTATTTTTTTTCCCTAAAATGTTCTTGAAAAGTGCTTATAGGTGCTTATTTTTTTAACTAACATGTCGCTACGAACTCTGGACAACAATGGAATTTTATAATGACATATACAGATTATATTTCTTCCTCTAGTCTCTCCCACTTACTCTTTGCCCATTTTTTGCTCGTCTGTATGATCCACACAATCATTTATCTTGACATGGGCAGATTATTGGAAATTTGTTATAAAATAATTATATTTTATTTAATATTTATTTTAATTATATTTTGGCAGTAATTGAGATTTAAATGAACTTTGCTTCTTACAAAACTAATGCATCTGTATATTATTTTTATAGGAAATTTGCTTCTTTTAAGAGATAATGTGTTCTTGTCCATAGGCAGAGCGTAAAATGTATAAAATGTATTGTGCAGATATTAAATTGGAAAGTATTTGTAATAATGGAAGTTGTATTTCTTTTCACTCATTCTTACACTTCAAGAAATCATTTCCTATGCAGAACAATGTACCAATTCTTGAAATAGAGCTTCAATATTTTGGGTTATAAAGGAAATAATTTACATGATTCATTGTAACGTTCAAATGATTTGGCTAATTTATTGGTAAGAAATCATCTTAAATTGCCTATGAATTACCTAAATTATTATGTTATGTAGTTAACACAGCTATCAAATACTTCTCGGTACACTTAGTTTGACAAATTCAGAATTGCTTCAGAACTAAATAATTGTTCTGTTTTTAATCTTAGCTGATTTTAATACAATAGGAATACATGTAATTCTCAAAAAATAATATTTTAATTTCTTAGCGGTCTAACAATTTTTGTTTTAAAATAAATGTTTATATATATCCACACACACCAAAAGGCCATTACATTATGACCATCCTGTTAATAACATGTAGGACCACCTTTAGCCCTCAAAACTGCCAACACACAGTGTGGCATTGATTCCACAAGGTGCTGATATGTAGTCTAAGGTATCTGGTACCAAGCGCTCACTAACTAGTCCTGCAATTTCCGCACATTGCGAGGGGGTAGCGTGGCAGCACGAATTTGGTGAATGGGACGATGGGACCAATAATACTTTATTGGATTAATGTCAGGTGAATTTGGAGGCCAAGATATGAGTTGAAAGTCACTGGAATGTTCTTTGAACCACTCCCTGATGATTCGACCCTTATGACATGGTGCATTATCCTGTTGGTAAACACAATTCCTCACCGGAAATACTGTTGTCATGATGGGTGAACCTGGTCTGCAATGATGTCCATATAGCGCACAGATGTCAGGGATTGTTCTGTGGAGATTATGGGTCCTAATGTGTTCCATGAAAACATTGCCCACACCATAATACCCCAAGGCATTGGCTTCTCTCTGTCCAGTTGTGCATCCAGGAGCCTGAGTTTCATTTGGAAATCAGTGTATTAGCACATGCTTGTCAATGTGATTCATCAGACCATGCAACTTTCTTCCATTCTTCTAATGTCCAATTCTGATATTTCTTGCCCCATTGCAGACTCAGCTGGCAATGACGTACCGTCAGTGCATTTGACATGCTTCAGCCTCTGGCTGCATAGGCCCATGCACAGTAATGTACGCTGCACAGTGTGTTGAGAAATACTGTCTGGGTCACCATTGTTTTAACCGGGGGTGATTTCAGCTGCTGTAGCTAATCGGTCACAGCGAATAATGTGTAATCTCTGCTCTCCTCTGGAATCAATGTGGCATCGACGACACGTTGCCAGCAACGTGTCGTTTTACCATCCATACACCATTTTTGGTATCGCTCACAACAACTGCATGTGGACAGCCCACTAACCGCACCAGTTCTGATATTGATGTTCCCAGTTGCCGAGCCATAGTGATTTTTGACCTGTATCGAAATTTGATAAGACAGCTGCTTTTTCCATTACGTCACTAATCATGCTATGTTTAGAAAGACAGTGCATTTATATACTCCATCAGCCGTGCATGCACAGTGGTTTTGTTCCTAGCAAGCCCATTGTTATAGATGGAGGGTGGTCATAATGCAGTGTTTCTTTGGTGTATATATATTGAAGATAATGAACTGCATTTATGTAATGATATCAGTGAGTGCTGAAATATTTTATCTTATTACAGTAAAAACTTGAGAAATGTGAATGTGGGATGTATGAAAATTCTAGGTAGATGAATATATTAAAAAAAAAAAGGGGGGGGATAGAAAGAAAAGGGAGCAATTCACATGAGAAAAGCCAAATGAATTGAAGAAATTTCTAATCTAAAATTATCAACTTCAATATCAAAACCTTGCATTTAAAATTATGTAATAATTCAGAAAATAAGATGCATTTCAGATATGAAAGCTGATATATTTCATAGGCCTTAAATATATGAAAATGAAATATTTTATCTGATTATAGTCTTGTCAACTGTGAAAATGCTGCCAAACTTGCACCAATCATCTGGTATAAGATTAAGGAAACAGAAACTCTCATCTGAAACATAATCTCCCAACTCTTTAAGTTAGATGTATAGCATATAAAAATCTGTTCATGTGGTTTTGCACCTTACATAGTCATTGTTTATCTGTTTTTAACCCCCTGAGTGGCACAGGATTTTAGATCCATCATGAAGACCAGTATTTCAACAGCATTTATTAATTTAGTTTGTATAATTACTTATTTCAGTCTGCATTTTCATAAACTAACATTCATTAAGATGATATTTACATTATTATAGAAAGTAAGAAAGCAAAATATCTTAAATTATTATAAGCTAATATATACCAAGTAGCAAAACTTCTGATGACTGGATAAACCCAATCATAACGCTCAGAGGGTTAAATAAAGTCACATACCATTCCCATTCCTGCACACTTTTTCTTGATGCCAGAGTCCCATAACTTTGAAAATACTTCACTGCATGCTATTCTATACAGGATAAGTCCCAAATTCTAATCCCCCCCCCAAAAAAAATGTGAGGAAAAAAGAGATAAATAGTAATTAACTTACAGCCTTTACAAAAACTAAACTGGCTTATTAAGAATTTATTGGGCTTATATAAAACCTAAATATAGATTGTATTGTGATGTCATGCTTATTTGCTTAATCACACTAATTGGCAACAATACCTTATATGTACTTTTTATTGGCTTTGGAAGTTTCTCATTTGCTTAATTTTTAAGGGGGAAGAAATGTGTAAAATTCTAAAATATTCAAGTTAGTTTTGAGAATTTTACTGCTTTAGAATGATTAATATTATTGCTGCTATTATTTTGTACTAATAATTAAACTTATGTATAATTTGACTGTTTATTTCTTATTAGGGAACGTTGTACACCAACTTGCAAGCAAGGCTGTGTAAATGGAACATGCATTCAACCTGATGTGTGTCAGTGTAACTTTGGATATGTTGGTGCAAACTGTTCTATAATGTGCAAATGTAATGGTCATAGCCATTGCCCTGGACCTGATAGTCTGGACCTTTGTTTAGAATGCAAAAACAATACTTTTGTTAGTAATTTCGCTTAATTTGTTTAAATTTGACTTTTACCATGTTTTGTTAATTTGTTTCTGATTAAAGAATTAACTGTAATATTCATAATTCAAATGATTTCATAATGTGACTTTTTCTATAATGCAGTATTTTAAAAGTTTTTAACAGGAAAATGTTAAAATGCAAAAACGAAATACATTTGTGCTCAGAAGTATTTAAATAGTCTGTCTGTTTTATACTTGCTTTTGCTGAATACCAAAAAAAGAATAAATAAAATTAAATTTAGATGAATCATGATATATAATAGTATCGATAAAAAAAGTCAAAATAATAGTGTGTCAGGATTATGAAAACAACCAAGTATACTGTTTTTTATAATATTATTTTAATGTGAATTTTGTCAACTATTTTTAAAGACATATTTACTCAGATTTAGGAATTTTTGATTGTAGCAATATACTTTCATAAATTTATTCATTAATATGAAATATCTGAATATATAATATAAATCTGTAAGTTATTCAAGGCTGAATGCCTCAGAAATTCTATGTTGAAAGAAGATCTATTTTTCCGTAAATAAAATGCTATAATGATTTTTAAGAGTAAACGTGTAAACTGATGAAAAAATAATTTTGTTTAAGTTCATATTCAAATGTTAAATACTCTGCAGTAGTTTCTTCCCTTCCAGTCTTCTTCTTACCCTCCCCAATTGTTTGTTTTTTTATGATGTGTAAAATTTCCTTTGTATTTCTTTTTAATACAGGGTGAACATTGTCAAAAATGTAAGCCGTTGTTTGTGGGAAATCCAGTAAATGGAGGAAGTTGCATTTCTTGCCATGAATATTGTTACACACATAGTTCAGTTTGTTTCCCTTCAGATTTTATGAATGGTACTGCAAACTTATCATTTAATCAAAGTCAGGTAAGCTGAAAATTTTCAGATAAAGTATGCCTTTCTGTAATATAAAAATTGGATATCAGGGTGCTTGAGCCCATCATGAATGAATATGTTTCTAAAAACTATTTGATTCGCCTTGCATTCTGTATACAGTAGAACTTCGCTTAATGAGCAAAATTTGTGTCTGAAATTTAGTTGTAATGCAAAACAATTTTTTCCATAGAAATCGACATAAAATAGAATAATGTGTTCCATTCTTGAAAAAATAATCAAGTTGATAATGATGTAATTTATTATTTATAATACATCCATTTTTACAATAAAGTTATGTAAAGACATTTGGCTTTGTCTACAAGTCAAAATTTGGCAAAAATGAGACACAGCATTATCGTTAAATCAATGCATAGCTACTGCCTTATTAGGGTGCTGCATCTCTATGTACAATGGAATTGTCTCCCATGCTTTAACATTTCCCTTATTCACTGAAAGCTTGTTGCTTTGCTAAGATAGTTATATCTTCCTTCCCTAATAAAATCTCCACAACTTCTTGCTATGACATTCCATAAGTTTTTCAATGGTGAGCTATTGACTGTGCTTTTTACCTAATTTGTCAATCTATAATTATCCATTTCTAGGCCCATAGAACAAATTTTGTCAATTACAGGTTGCACAGGAACTTGCTTAACTATAGTAAGATGCTACCCGAATGAACATTAAATGCAGACTGATAGCTTAAATGCAGACAAGATCCTGCAAGTGACGTCATGATATTTTCACATCAATTATTCTCCAAAATATCGCTTCTTAAGGGAGTCATTTTTTTACATTTTGTTTTGTTCATTATGAGAGGAACTCATTATGCAAGGTTTGACTGTATTTGTTAACAATTATGTATAGGAAGTAGAAATCCAGCATTTGATTAGAGTGTAGTATATAATTACGTTATGTATAACACAATATGCAAAGTGGCCCATTAAGTAACCAGACTATCTTTTCTAAATAAGAAAAAGATTACTTATCTTTAAATAAATTTCTCTCCTTCAAAATAGTTGCCAGTGGTGGTTTATATAGTTTTTTCTGCATTTCTTCAGATCATCAAAACACTATTTATAGACATTGGGCATAATCATTTGCAAAATATGCATAACATTTTACTTAATATCCAAGACGTTTTCAAATTTTGTCCTTTCATAGACATCTTAAGCTTTAAAATATGGAAAAATTCTCCACTTTTTTGCCAACGTTTTGACAGTTTTTCAAAGCCTTGTGCCCAGAAACTTGGTGGCCTTGAGTCCAAAAACATATCAACCTCATATCAGAGGTCTTGAGCAGAATGGAAGATAGCACCAGCAAGATGTAGCTGCAGGTGTGAAGAACGGTAGAAGTCCGAACGAGTGATGTTGGGGCTATATGGGGGTGTGGCAAAAGACCCCATTTGAGTCCTTACAGAGTCCAGCTAGTAAATACAGACACATATGGTCTTGCATTATCTTGATGGAACATTACCTTTCTGCACCGGAACTCAGTTTGACATTTTTCCTTGATAGCAGCATTGACACAGACTAGCATCTCGCTGTACACCGTACTGTTAGGGTAAGAAACTCTATATGGATAATGTTTTGTACAGGCACTACACTATAATTCAATAAACTCAGGAACAATGGACTGTATTATATCTCACTTTTATTCTCATTAATTTACATCGTTCATGGCCACTCGAAGCCACAAATTCTCTTACACGCTCTTCGCTCACAATCTCATGTCACAAACTCCAAGAGCTCAAGGCGCATGCACCGACGCTAATGAAATGCGCGCGCAGGCGCAACATACCGCCCACCTTGACATGATGTAATCATTCAAAATTAAATCTTACAATAAAAAATTACACAGAGTGACAATATGAAATACGGGTAAATAATTATAAACATCAAATAATAACATCAACAAATCAAACTACTATAATAAGAAAATACAATAATAAATTACAAACATACTTTTTGTTTAATTTGGGCATAGGTAAAAGACAAATTTTATTAATTGATCTCTTAAAAATACCTCCTTTCGTTTTCAGAACAGCTCTCGCCAGTTTGTCTGCAGCTGTCTGTTGCCGTAGAAACGAGCCCTAACCCATTTTTCGTAGGGGTGTCTTGAAGATTTACTTCTGAGTTTGCCACCTTGGCGCATTTAAAGATGATTTGGCGATATTCACATTTTGTTTTAGTTTCAAGTAAAATGCTTGTTGACCCTTTGCGTCGACCCCGACATCCAATTTCCGAAAATGAAATTCGATGGCGTAGATAAAGCTTTTGCAGTCAAGAAACGGTCTTTGATTTTGCCGTGTGAGGTACAAGTCGCTAAATTTGCAATCCCTCTAGATGTACAATGAGTAAAATAAAAATAAACTTGTAGGGAAATAAATTTTAAAAATCCGTGTTTATTTTTGAAGAAAAATTTTAATTTCGACATTTAAAAAAATCATGCTATTATTTTGCTTCTTTTTTGTTTATTTGTTTGCTTGCAAAATCATAGATGACATCTTAGAAATCTACTTGATTGCCCCATTCTCTTTATATAGTATAGACGCACTTCATAAATATAAAATAAATTTAATTTTTATAGTTCTCCCCTCTAGCTGATCTACCGTGAACATTCAAAGCAATTTCTTCAGTCTTTAAATGACGTTCTGCTATGTTTTTATTTCAAAATTTTCTGTTAATTTATTGCTTGTGCTTTAATAATGACTAAAAATTTCATCATTAAATGTATATAGAATCATCTTGAAAGTAAAAGCATTTTTTTACATACCCATGCTCTCAATAAATACTTTTTGCGAACATTTCTTCTTTTCTCATACCTTTAAACTAAACCAAAAGCTGGTTAATTTAATGGCGGAAGGAAGCGAAGGTGAATTAAAATCAAAACTGCTTTTTCCTTAATTACCAGTGGTTTGGGTTGGTTTATATGATTACGGAAAGCCTCCAGGCCTAAGAGGAGGGATGCCTCCATGGAGGGCTTGCTAAGGGAAACTGGCTGTGCGCCCAAAACCGTATCATGTTGCCAAAATTTCTTAAAAGTTAAATTGCTGTCAATCCATGTTTCATCGATGTAAACGATGTGGCGTTCGTTCACTTGCTCTGAGTTTTCTCATTTCGCGTAAATAATTGTTCCTCCAAAATACAATGTGAGGTCTTTCGATAAGATTTTTTTTTTTTTTTTTTTTTTTTCTTTCTTCTACGCATTTCAACGAAAATTCATTGAACACAAAACTTTGCACAAAGAGTCTTTTTGCCACGGGAAGTCTAATTTTTGCCTCAAGACAGGCAGTAATTTCCGCACAGATGGCACTTTCTTTTCTTTAATGTTAAAGTCTTGTATTGTCTACTGTAGAACGCATTTGTCAAAATCGTAAATTTCACATTTATGATTAGCAGGGCTTTTACATTTCTTTCCAAGTGTATTCAGAAGTTTATTTTCACCCATTGTTGGTACTTCGCTCTTCAAAACTTAAGGAAGAGGAACTACTAAAGAGTTCGCCGAAACTTCAAAAGCGCAAAATTCTGCGACACTATACACGATTTGATGTGACTGAGACTTTAAAGGTTGACCTTTCTTAAACTGGAAGGGCATTTTAAAAAATTGGCGATTAACAAAGCACTACGAAAATCAAGCTAAATAGAAGCGAATTTGAGCAAATGCTAGCACAAATGATATAACAACGAGAATAAAAAGAGCTAATAGTAATAATATAAGGCTTAAGAAAAGATGCGTGCAGCTGGAATGAAGACGAATGATAAACTTACCTTAAGCCAACAGTCGCCAAAAACAAAATAACAATAAAGCAACCCTTGGTTCGTCCCTATTTGAAATATACTAGCCCTGTTGCTATAGCGACCGCCACTCGCCAGACACCGTGGCGGGAGCTGTTCTTACCGTAGACAGACAGTACTCTAACCTTATTGTCTTTACCTAAGAATATCTCTACGATTCTTCCAAGAGGCCAGTTACATACAGGAACATTATCAGTCTTTAAAATTACCATAGTTCCAACCTTGACATTGTCTTTTTCAAAGAACCATTTAGTTCTTCTTGCATTGCACTCAAATAGTTATTTCTCCAATACTTCCAAATTGTGTGCACTATTTTAGACAATTTTTGCCAGCTCTTTAATGTATTATCGTTAATGTTTAAAATATTAGGTTCTGCAATAGCCGTGATAGGTCTGCCTATCAGGAAGTGGCCTGGTGTCAAGATATCAAAATCCTCTGGTTCAAATTATAAAGAATGCAAGGGCCTAGAATTCAAAATGCCTTCAATTTGAGCAATTACTGTAAGAAACTCCTCATAGGTTAGTTTTAAATTGCCTACTACGCGTTTCAAATGAAACTTAACAGATTTGACACCTGCCTCCCAAAGACCTCCATGATTGGGAGCTCTAGGGGGAATGAACGACCAATCAATACTCTCACTCGATAAATAATTACCTAATTCATCATCTGGTTTGCTGACTAGCCTATTCAATTTCTTTAATTGTGCATTACTACCAACAAAATTGGTTGCGTTATCTGAAAATATACGTGCACACTTGCCTCTCCTGCTGAAAAAACGCTTTAAGGTTGCAATAAATGCTTGACTAGACAGGTCTGTTACCAACTCAAGATGGCAAGCTTTGGTAACAAAACAAACGAAAATGCACACATACACCTTGTTAAGGCGACCTTTTCTCTGATGGGGGTATTTTATAAAATAAGGACCAAAAAAATCAACTCCAACACAATTGAATGGAAAATTCGGGCTGACTCTTTCTTGAGGGAGTTGACCCATAAGTTGTTGAAAGGGCACTGGTTTTGCTTTGAAACATACAACACATGTACTATTTTTCTACAAGTGTTACACCCGTTAAAGGGCCAAAACCCTTGTCTAACAATAGACATTGTGGACCAATATGCATGTATTTCTTATGAAACATCACAATAATTAGATTAGTCAACTTATGATTCTTTGGTAAGATCATAGGAAATTTTTGA